CTCTTTTAATTTCATGCATTTTTTGAATTGTTTTTTCTTGATCAAACTTAATCATCTCCATTGCTACATTAATGTAAGAACGATTTTTAGGATGTTTTCTTTTATTACCAGCTCTTTGAAAGGAACCTTCAATTTCGTTGTGATCAGTGACCAAATAGCGAATTACATAGCTGTCATAAAACTCATCTTCTTTCCCAATTGATTTTATTTTATCGTCTATTGCTATTAAAGTTTGTTGAATAGTTGTCGGAATTTCGTGAGGTAATAACTCATTTTTTTCGAAAATTTTTGAAGCTGGGATAATAACTTCCAAACAGTCTAAATATAAACCTACTTGAACAAGAAATGATTGACATTTAAATAATTTTAATAGACCTTTTACTTTTCCAACTGTTTTGCCATTTTTTGGGTCACTTGCATAATTTTCATACGCTGAAAGAAAGGCTGGCCATGTCTCGAAAAGACTAGAAAGGGCTCTTTTCCTGTGCCCGACAAATCTTGTACCAGATATTTTTGGTAAAATGTAAAAAGTTATTCCTATAGCATTTGCCGCAGCCTCGACTTCACTTTTTAATTTTCCAGAATTTCTTAGTAGGTAATAATTTGACAAATAAAATTCTTCAATCTTTATAAATTCCATTACATCCTTAAATGTGTCTTTTATTGCCAATTCGATTCTGTGGTTGATACAATGTATTTTCAATAACCATTTGCGAGATTTTTCTAGCTGTGTTAGGGCACCATTTTTTATACCAAAATTAACGCTTGCACTGTCAGCTGTGGCAGAAACTAGTTTTTTAATATAATCTTCAGTAGATATTTTGAAAAATGAATTATCTGACTCAAAGACACTGTTAATACCAGCAGTAACTGAGTTTGAATCGCTTCAACCAAATTGTGACATTTCCAACAACTCGGTAACCATATATATCAGGATTCCGTTGCGCTCTGTACGGACCAAAACAAGTTCTTTTTCTTTTCCAGTTTTTCGTGCTTGACTTCCGTCACTAAGTATCGAAAGGAAGTTGCAATTTTCGAGAATTTTACAGCATTTCTCACGGACAGCATTGGCACAACATTGGATAAGTTCTCTGCCAGTAAATCCTGTTTCTTTACGATTTATGAAGTTTGATCCTGTGATGCGTGCACAATCAACCTTAAGATATAATAAAATATTATTATAAAAAATTAATACTTTCACATAATAAATTAGGAACTACGATTAAAGCTTAAACTTATTTAAACTTGTTTTTCATTTTTAAAAAATTAACATTATTTGCAAAAAAAAAAAAAAAAAGTTTAACAATAATATTAACTAAAACGTACGAGAATAGAAAATTGTGCATGAGGCATAGCTGGATGGCAAGCCATTTCATAAGCTATTTTTACCAAGTTTTTGTAAGAATTACTTGTAGATTTTTCTTTCTCTGTCAATTTTGTTTCACACGAACTAATGTTGAGTTTGTTGGTTTCTACCTTATAGAAATAGTAGATAAAATTTCTTAAAAGGACATAAATGAGTTGTAAAAAAAGTTATCATAATTATATTAAATATATGAAAATAATGAGGAATTCCATGGAAAGTAGACAGTTTGATTACTTTATTTTATAGAGGCTTTGTTGCATGTAGTAAATAATTATTTCGTATTTAAACTTGAAAATGATTTTTATTTATAAAAAGTGAACTAATTCAAATTTTTAACATCTTTGTTTAAAATTATAGTTTAAATATAAAATAATTATAAAGTCTGACTATTAACCTGTTGCTCTTTGTCGTTTGCTTTTGCTTCTTTGTTTTCATTTAGGTCTTCATTCGTCAATCGGATTGCATTTCTGTGGACAGCACTTTGTAAATGTCGAGAAACGCCATCTTTTTTAACGTAGCGTGTCCCATTTATGTATCGTAAAGCGACTGTTCTTATTGCTCCTTTGGTATTGGCCAGTATATTCTCTTGATGAAGAGCACATACATTACAAAATATTTTCACAACATATAGAATTCCATTTTCTACAGCAGTTTCTATACAAAAAACTTCGGAAAGATTCCATATTTCAAAAGTTTTCAAAGTGACTCTGTTTTTATTCAAAATGTTATCCATTTGATTATGTATTTTTAAAAAAGTTTAGAATTGTTGAATGATTTGTTGAAATCCTTAGTAAATATCAAACTCCTTATAAAGGAAATTAATATGTCGTAAGGAAATTAAAATAACTAACATTAGCTAGAAGTTTATTTCGCTTTACTATGAACAAGTTTCCAGTATCTTTTACAAAAAAGCAGAAACAAATTTAATGCGCATTAAAAAATAGGCAGCCTAACTAAGTGTAATAACTATTGTACTTTAAAATTTAATTAAATATATATCTTTATTTTTTCCTGAATGGAAAAAAAAAATTTTTCTCTCCCAATAGTTATTAACTAAGTACCAATTTAGTTGTGAAAAATGTAACAGCTCTCATCACCAAAACAACATCCTAATATCATCGTAATTACAGAAAAAAGATTTTTATAAATAGGAAACAACTGATTTTGCTAAATATTACCGTTTTTTTTAAATTATTTGTTTTAAATATATTTTTGTTAACCTTTCCATAAATATCATTGATAAAAGTTTATTTTAGTTGAAATACTCAAGTACCAGAATATGGACTATCGTTTGCAACCTAACCCGGAGTGCCGGAGTTAGCAGTGCAATGCATCTTAACCCGACGATACAATGGAGGTGGGGGGGGGGGGGGAGGAGGAGAAGGGGGAAAGACACGTACCTCTTCCCCTGTCCTATTACCACTTCTTCTTTAGAGGTTTTTTTTTAAAAAAGAAATTCACATATAAATTGACGATTAATGTTATCTCACGGCATTTTTGCTTAAAATTATAAGAAATAAAACGATTTTTTATTTAATTTTCTCTAATGGTAGTTACAAGTTTCAATCATTTATATAATATGATTATAGCTTCATACTACTTTATAGTTTTAATCAGTGCTTAAACAAAGCAAAAAATCTATCAACAATTTTTTTTAAAGAACTTGACTAGTAAGTATTCATCTACTGCTCATAAACTAATTCTAATCGACGTTCTTTCTATGATCAATCTAAAAAATTAATGATAATAGAAACATGTATGCAAAAAATAATCTTCGACACTAAAAAAATCATTTACTTCTAAATACTAAATATTCAAAAAAAAAAAAATTGATCAACTAAATTTTCTGACATATTACCAACAGGTCCAGCCAGGCGCGATTTTAGGAATGAAATAAGGAGAGTAAATCCTTTAAAAGTCTCAAAAAAAAAAATTTAACTGTTAGTCAAATGTTAACTCCCCTCTTTCTTAAAATGAAGGGAGGGGGGCAACAAACCTTTTCCTATATAACTCATGACATCAACTATCGGGGTCTCGACAGTTGATGATGAGGAAATGATTTACTTTATAGCTCATCATAAGTACTTTCTTAAAGGGACGAAAAAAAGAAAAATTGTTTTAAAATTATAAATAAATAAACAAAATACATTACATATAAAATAAACATTACTTGTGAATAAAGTTTATAAACTTATGAAATCTAATATTAAAAATTAAATATGATGAAAAGTTTAAACTTAAAACATTTTATTTTCTTTAAGTAATTTTTAAAAACAAAAAAAAAATTATTAAACAAATTGTTTCTTTAACAAAAAATCTATTAGTTTACAATTGCGGTTAAATGCTTTTACTTACGACTTTAATACTTCTGAATGAACATCACATAAACTATATAAAAAGATAATTTAAATATTCTAAAAGATAAAAGTTTTTGCGTAACGCATAACTGCTGAACCTGTAGGCAAATCGCCTTTTCGCAGGCAAAATGCGAGCTAATTAACGCTTCTTAACAAGGCCTGAGTTACCCTCATTGGGTTATATTACATTGTATTGTTTTTAACACTATTCATTTATATAAATTTTTTCATCTTTCGTGCCAAAAAAAATAATAATAAATGATATCGAGGTTAACCTGGCTTTTTCAAGCAGGGCTGGGCTCTTTATCGGTAAAATAATAATTTTAAAGATGGTGGTTATTGACAAAAAAAAAATTGCATTTTAACAATACGTTTAATTGGTGTTATAACATAAATAACGCTTCTTAAAAGTCTAATATTATTATATAAACTTCACAAATTAAAACTTGATGTTTTTTCAACATTATTCTTCTATGTAAACAATCACGATCACTTCAAAAGATGAAACAAGCAAGTGAGAGGCGCCTTAAAAGAAAAAATTGTAGTTGCTAGTTTAAAACTGGCAGAACTGATTTATGGTGGCATAATTTAATAACTGATGTAGCTCTAAGTGATGTATGGAAAACAAACTTTAGGCTTTCACGTTTTCATTTCATAAACTTGGTTTTAGAGTTAAGCCCTTATTTATCTTGTGATCTTTTTTTTTTCTGTGTGCGTGTGTATGTGTGTTTTATAAATATCAAACCAAGCAAATTAAATAATTATTATTTTACTTTACATTCAGATCAAATATGTTTTCTAAGGCCATTTTAAGATAAATTATTAAAATCTAACAAAGTGCATTTATAACATATACCTTTTATAAAGATGTTTTAAATGCAATCTTTATACATAAAAATCTTCCTATATTTTTTTAAATTTACATGCAATATTTACACATAAAAATTATTTGTTTCTTTAAAACACTCAACAAAAATAATACACAATAAAACTTGTTAACCTAAAAAAGATTTTATTCTTTGTATTTTGTTAATATTTTATATTAAAGAAAACACGATGTAAAATATTCAAAAAATACTCACAAAAATATTCACAAAAATCTCTGCCAATATATATATATTTTTTTGAATAGGCTTTATGTAATAATAACTTTATATACTATGAAAAATGTAATATGTTATCATATTTACCATAAAAAAAAATTTTAAAAAACATTTTTAAAAAACTCTTGATTCCTTAGAATAACAATAATTTAAATTTTACAAACATAAAAATACCTCCTTCTTTCAGTGTTTGCTAACTTAGCAGGAGGTTGATGGTTGCCGAATTTATCACCATATGAATTTCTCTTTAGTTGTATTCTTCTTCCTGTGGATCTAAATACATATCCCTAGACTTCATAAGTGCCTATATATACATGTATGTATGTATGTATGTATGTATGTATGTATGTATGTATGTATGTATGTATGTATGTATGTATGTATGTATGTATGTATGTATGTATGTATGTATGTATGTATGTATTTGATACCTTTATTATTATACCAAAATTTCCACCTTTTTTAAAACCATGATATTAGTAGTCATAAATTAATAAAAAATTTAAATCATAAGATTGTATTGTCTTTATACTAGTTAAAATAAAAACAATTTTTATAATTTTTTTTTTTGAAACTATAGTTCATTTGCATACTCATTTGGATATTTTATGTTTTAAAAATACAGCATAATGATTCTATAGTTTAGGTTTTAAGTTGGATTCGCCTCAAACCTGATATTAGTTGTAGCTAAATAGTATAAAGATGTCAATCAAATATTCACACAGAACAATAAAAAATAATGGAGGTAAGGAACATAAAAACAGTAAACAGAAGAACTAAAAACAAAAAATTATATGAATCAGAAAAGCACAATAACGGGTGTAAATTTTAAATGTTTAATGTTCTTGATGTTTACCCCTAATTGCTATTAAGTCAGGAATAAAGTTGTAGAATAAAATAATGATGAGTCAGAAAAAAATAAATTATGTTAGAAAAAAACGATAGATAATAGCTTTGTTTGCAAAAAAACAAATATGACCTTTTATCATTAGCTGAGCTCTAATAACTTTTTTATATAAAAAACTTTTGCTTGAAATAATTTATTCAATTGCTACTTAAATCTTTGATTTTTTTTTGTTTGTTTTTTACTAGCTCTTATTTTTATGCTTTTATTAGTACATCATTTTAAAAATTTAATATATATTTTTATAAATAAATTTTAATTCAACAGATAAATTTTTAATCAGCTTAGAGTAGGATGTGTGTAAATCAAATTCAGATATATAAGAACTGAATGCAACATTATAGTTGTCTCTAAGACTTGCTGGAGCAGTTGCAATGGACAACTAGTGAATATCAGACTTTAATGTATATGCTAAGTAGAATCATCCATGTATTCAGTGTGTACACAGGTAAGATTAGACAAGTTTTTTACCATAAAATGCAAATCATTAGACCAAAGTAGAAACATCGAGCAAAGTAATATCAACCATAAATTTGTAGATATCCTGAATGCCTTTATGCATTTCAGTTAATTTCAATGTTTAGACAGTCCTCAGATCCAACAAACTTATCATGAAAAGTGTGTAAAGTGTAAACTCATCACCTTTATAGAATTTAAGTATATTTATATATTAATTATATTGTATATAATTTAAAATTATTCTGTAGATCAGGATTAGGATCACCATGATCACCCTGCAACTGGTAACATGCAATCCAGTACAACCTGCATTATATCCTACTGCCTTGTAGGATTCAAAGGAAAAAAGGCTAGGAAAAATTAACAAAGGCTAGGAAAAATTAACTAACCTAAATGATTTCTTGCCCAGAGGTTTTTGGCTAAGTAAAAACTAGAAATGGCATGTGAATAAAAAAACTCATCTAAGGCTGACTGTATTTGATTACTGTTTTGAAGAAGACCTCCTAGGCAAAGTCTTAAAAGGTAAACAGAAAATCTCTGTTGATCTACCTCACAATTTTTCTTTGTCTAATAAGCTGGTATAGATGTAAACCTGTGTTACATTGTTTACTTTTTAGGATGATGAACACTGAATCTTCTTAGTTCTACTCATGGGTTGTTGCTATTGCCTATCTAGTAGTGGCTATTTCTTTTATTAATTCTTTTATGAGTGTAGTGGCTATTTCTTACTGTAGTGGCTTTTTATTAGTGTAGTGGCTATTTTATTTAACTCTTTCTGTTATTTCATGAATTTGTAAGGAATAAGTCATGCAGCACAAATCTTCTGAAACTTAAGATTATATCTCATATTAACTTAGCCTTAGTTATCCAGTTGATATCATTTACTTAGACTTAGTGAAGGCTTTTGATAGTAGCTCATCACAGATTGCTACATAAATTAAAAGGTATGAGATCACTGATAAGCTGCTAAAATGGCTTGAAGCTTATCTTAAAGATATAAGATAACAAGTTGTATAAGGTAAAGTAGTCTCTGAATGGAGAGATATTGCAAGCAACATGCAACAAGAATTGGTAATTGGACCGATTTTGTTTTTAATATTCATTAACAACCTAGCAGAACATTTTGACCATAACTTGAAACTTTATGCAGATGATACAAAGTTAATTAGTCAGGTCAAAGATAGATATGATGCTGAGTTATTGTAATTAGATTTAAATGGTTAAATGGTCAAAGGTGTGACTTGTTAAATTTAAAGGTGACATGTAGTTATGTATTTAGGTAAAAAAAAGTAATAAGTATAAATACTCTATGGACAGGAAAACACTCAGTAAAATAAACATAGAAAGAGATCTTGGAGTTTTATTTTCAAATTTGAAATGGAAAGATCGTATAATGGCTTGTACCTCAAAAGCAAATAGAATGATGGGGTTGTTGAAAAATACTTTTTCAAAACTGACATTCATATGCTTAGGTTATTATATACAACATTTGTTTGGCCCCTTATTGAATTTGCAGTGCCCGTTTGGTCTCCTTACTTCAAAGATGATATTAAAGTTTTAGAAAATGTGCAACATCAATCTCCAAGAACTGTTCCTTTGTTGAGGAATTTGATATATATGACAAAATATATGAATTGTCTAAATATTACAGATCTTTATAGGTAAAGAATGATTTAATCCAAGTATATCAAATAAAAAATAGTTTAAAAGAAATTAAACTCATAAAAAAATTAGAAGCGAAAGTATTACAATCTAATAGAGGAAATAACTGTAAATATGACGGTGAAATAACTAAATATCAACCTAGACAAAATTTCCTATTCAACAAAGTTGCTTCTATTTGAAATATATTTACTAAAGATATAGTATATTCAGAATCATTGAATGCTTTTGAGGCTAAGCTTTATCTATGGCTGTAGGATTAATGGAACTTGATAATAAGTTAACAATGCTGTCTCAGTGGGTTCAATTCCACTTGCTGGTTTTTAAAAACCTTTTACAGCTTATCACTACTACTACTACTACTACTACTACTACTACTACTACTACTACTACTACTACTACTACTACTACTACTACTACTACTACTACTACTACTACTACTGCTGCTGCTGCTGCTGCTGCTGCTGCTGCTGCTGCTGCTGCTGCTGCTGCTACTGCTGCTGCTGCTACTACTGCTGCTACTGCTGCTACTGCTACTGCTACTACTAGGTTGGATGGTAGTAAGTTTCCAAAACTCTATGCTAGCACTCAGAAAGAGGCTTTATGTGAAAAAACCCAACTTTTTCAAAAAACTTGATTTAAAGTCTCAGATTTTGCTGATTATAAACCAACTTTAATAAGTTATGATTACCCACAAAATTTCATCATCTAATTCTTACTGGTTTTAAAGATATAAATATTTTAAATTAACTTGAAGCAATACAAATCCATCATTTTAAAAAACAACTTCAGCCCTTGTTTCAGTTCTGTTGGAAATAGAAAAAATCAAAATATGTACCTTTAAATATTTTGGGATAAGGATTTTGATTAAACAACTGAAAATATTTTAAAGTAAAAAAAAAGAAACATCTAAAATTTAAACATTCACCATTTTATTGTGTGAGTTGAATTACAAAAATGCCAATTTAGCTTAATTTGTTTTCAATTATAAATTGTCCTAAACATTTAAGATAAAGTTATTACAAAGAATTGGAGAGTGGTTTTTCTTAAAAAGAACTAAAAGATGGATGTATGTACTAAATTTATTACTTATAAAACAAATAATTTTGAAAAATCAAATAAAAAATAGTTGGAAACTTAAAAGTTGTTAACTGAAATTGTTTTGGCCATATCAATTCTTCTATTTGTTGTTAACTTGCTGCTGTTATTTTTGTAATCAAAGAATAATTTAAATATTAACTTTTACACTCTTAGTTTTGGTCTCAAAAATAAGCTGCAAAAAAAAACTTGAAAGTTTCTGATTGAAACTACATTGGTATTTTTGCAATTCACATTCATTCTATATAGTAACTCGCCTAAGTAAAATGATAATTAATGTTAGAATTTTAGATGTTTTTTTTACTTTTAAATGGGACAAAAAAGTCTTTGACTTTCAGCTTTGGTTCAAGATTGTTGATCAACAAAATATTGCAAAATTATGCTTGGTAAAAAAGAAAGTGATAATGTTAAAGGTAGTATCAATAAAATTTACTGCTGTGAGCTCCATCAGCATTTTTTAAATTTAACTTGCCCCAAAAAAATGGCGATATTTAATGCATATATTTCCTGTCATCTTTCCTTTTAATATTTTTTGATATTTAAAATATCTCTTCCAAAATTAAAGCAGAACAATTTCTAAAGATCTTTTCTAATTAATCTCTGAAATCTAATGACTACACTTATCCTATCATTTTAAAGAAACATGTTAATCCACAGCTAGACATCCAACTCACTTTATTACACTCTAAACTATTCAACAAGTGCTTAACTGAATCTTCAGAATCTTCAGAAGCTGGAGTAATACAAATATAAAGCAATAGATCAAGCTGTTTGTCTGCTATATCAGGTATGATGTGACAAGTGAAATCAAGAGATGAGATTAATGAAACGTTCTTAGCAAACAATTCAGCTTTATCTTTAGGTTGAGGTAACAAAATCTAAATCATACAAGAAAGGAGGAATAACATACTTGTCTTTATTATAGACACCGTTAAAGATTCTCCAGAAGTCTCAGGAGCCTAATTTTTGAGAAAATACAAGAATAGCAGGATTTGGCGTTAGATAAAACCTTTTTACAATGGTTTCTAGCAATAGTAAACAGACAATTCTTTCTTGGAAAATTGTTTTTGCAATAGATATTTAACCAACTGAGTTATCTTTGAAAAATCAAAGTATTTGATTAATTTGACTAATTTTTTAACATAAGCGGTCAGAAAATTGCAAATAAGTAGACTTTTTATTCAGTACAAAGACTTGGAACTTTTCCCACAGTTTTACATAAATACCTTTTAATACTCATAAACTCATGAGTTTTTACAAAACAAAAAACAATAATTTTTTTTTTTTAAAAGAATTATGTCAAAATTCTTATTTATATAGTAATTGTTAATCTTAAAAAAAAAAAAAATTTAGCTTTTTTTTAGCTTTAACAAGGTTACTTAATTTACTGCTAATTATCTACTAAACTAGTTTACAAAGACCTTTTCGTATGACACGCCTCATATATACATTAGTATTATAACTTTAATTTAAAAAATTTTTGTTAGATTTATTTATAAAATACCAAGCATTCCACAAATTAAGTTGTTACATGAAAGGATGCATAAAAGTAACAACCATTTGATACATAAAAACTGCATTAAAGTGTTACGTCTTGCTATGTAAAAGTGTTACATCTCAGTTTTGTAACTGAGACCTAGTTGTTAACCAAAGTAATAGATATTTATAACCAAACCATTACATATAATATTACGTCTCACGACATAACATTGAATTAGGGGTATATATATTACAAAACTTATTGAAAACTGTTTCTATCATAACTGGTACACATATATCATTGCTTTCTAAACCAATGTTTTCATCATACAACCAGTGTTATTGCTAGGGATGTAAAGTCCCCAAAAAGATTCTGGTTTTGAATGTTGTGAAATCACTTATTTTTTATCATTAATTTTGAACCTTAAGTTGTAATATAAAATGCTTAACTTTATGTCAGATTAAAGAAATAATTTCTAAAATTTCAAATCGTCAACATTTTCTTCCAAATGAAGTGTATAATACTCCTAACGTTTTTTAAAGCTCTTGGACACCAAGGACCAGGAATAAATAGTGATTTTAAAACTTAAATTCAAAGCAATTTTTAGGATTTCACACATTTTTGTTATAGTTAATAATACAAACAATGTTTAATCAACTATTAAAGAATTATTTGCTTTTATTAATTTTATTTTCAAAATTATTTGCTTTTATTAATACCTTGTATGCTCTGCAGGGTCACGACCTGTTAGCTTTTTTATAGTTTCATCAACAGCAATTATGTTTTGTTTTAATGCATCACGAGCTTGCTGTAACTCACTAATCATATCAGCTGCCATTTTCTCTTATTGCCTGCGAAAGTTAAATTTATTTTAGATCTTCAATAATATCAAAAATACTGTCAAAATTATGCACATACATATATTACATAGATGAGTATATGCATGTATGTATATATGTGTACATGTGTGTGTGTGTGTATATATATATATATATATATATATATATATATATATATATATATATATATATATATATATATATATATATATATATATATATATATATATATATATATATATATATATACATATATATATATATATATATATATATATATATATATATATATATATATATATATATATATATATATATATATATGTATATGTATTCACATATCGTTGCTTTAAAACTGTAAGGTTGTAATTGACACATTTAGCAAAATAAAAATATTAACAAATAAAGCTAATAAATCTGTAAATAACTAATAAAGCAGTAATAAAGCTTTAAATACGTAAGAATATGCAAATAATTATTTTAAAATAGTTTTATTCAAAAGATAGCTTTTAAGTTTAAACCCGGAAATTTGAAAGCAGCTTTTGCAACTAAAATAAACTTTTTCTACATGTTAAAATAACATTGTGTTTGTTAACCAATAAATATTTTTGAGCTAATGGCTAAGTCGACCATCTTTCAATCGTTTTTATTTCCGCAACTCCACAACTGTATGAACAGGAATCGCCATCTTTACTTAATTGCTTGAACAACTACTTAAATTATTTGATTATAATTCTAAGAATTAAGTGCAAAAAACTTTTTTCTTTATAAATGATCATAAAATTTTAGTTTTAAAAAAACATATTATATAAAAGATTTTTATAAGTTGTACTTCGACTTGAAAATAAGGCATTCGCTTTCATGCTCCCTAAGCTAGTAAAGTCTATTCCTGAAACGAACACCAACACGTGGTTAAAATAATAATTATTAACAATTTATTTTTTGCATAATAGTACTTTTTTTTACTTAGAAAATTGTTATAGATATAAAATTTAAATAAGGATACACTCAACAACCCCATCATTTTCGGAAAATCCATACGTTTTGCGAAAAGCTAAAATGAATAATATAAAACACGAATGTAGTGAACATTCAACCTAAAGGGTCGCGTTACGGAACTATTTATAAATAGTTAAGTAAATATACTTAACTTTAAAAAATACTTCATAAATCAATACTCTTTTTTCGTTTTTCTTATTGCTTTACCTGTTTTTATTTTCGGTACTAAACAACCCTTTTTTTTATTTCCTTGTTTATCTCTTTTTCTGAAAATAAAAAGCATGTCAAGAGCAACTTTAGTTTATACAACTGATAATGAAAACAAGATAAGAAAAAAACAATATCAAATTATTTCAATTTCATCTTGGTTTTTAGTAAACGATTAAAATTTCACTAACGATCAGCGTTGCCAGATTTTTTTTGCGCTAAAATGCCAAATGCTTGTCTAAAAAATGCCAAATAATGCCAAATTTTTATTAATAATGACAAAAAAAATGCCAACTTTTAAAATAGCAGAAAAACTTTATAAAAAAAAATTGAACCTTATTTATTAACTATATATTCAATAAAACTATTTTAAAAGCCATATATTAATCAGTTTTAACATATTTTTTATATATTTTTCAATAAAAAAACGACGTTTAACATAGATTATTTATGTATTTATTAAATAGATAAGTATGTTCACTCAACTTTCAAATAAATATAAATCTAAAGTTAAAAAATATGAGTTAAAGAAAATTTCAAATTCTGTTAAAAGAATTATAAAAAATGTCTCAATATCAAACTTCCTTTAGTTTAAATCATCAATTAGAGTGAGATCATCTTCGACTAATTCATCATCGTCAGAATACATGTCCGTTCCCAATTTAGTTAACATTTTGTCACTGATTTTAAAGTCTTTACAACATTTGTTGCGGCTAGCAAGGTAGGCTTTTACTCGCACTACACTGCTGAGCAATTTGTCTGACATTCTGTTTCTTGGTTTGTTTTTAACAAAGGTGACCTGAGAAAAAATACGTTCCACAAAAGCGTTTGATATAGGGAGAACAAGACAAGTTAGGCAATAGTCTGCTAGTTCCTTAAATGCTGCATCTCCTGATGTATTTTTGTAGTGGCGAACTGCAGTCCAGAACTCAGTTGTATCTTTTGGTATACAAGAATTTTCAAACAGCTCCATAGAAGACCAGTCAACCAAACTTACTTTTTTGTACTGATCTTCAATGTTTTGCGCTTTATCCTTCATAATATGCCTTAAAGGCAGATGAGTGAATGGCATTTTAGAACTTTGATGCAGAACCTTTGATGGTGAGAGATAAGATAGACCTTGAAAAATTTCTTTGTTTTCAGGTAGACGTTGATCAAGCTCTTTCAAAAGACGCAAAAGAAATTGAAGACAACGTGTTAGAACACTTTCAATGTTTTTTCTGGCGATTTCTTTTTGGGTTTGTAGATAAGTATCAATATATTTTTGGCAATCTGATAAAAACTTTGCCCCAAAGTCAACACGTTTTAGAGGCAGTTGAACTTCTTGGTTGTCAAGAACACGCTGTTGTAGACTTTTGTAGTGTAGGTTTAGCTCTGAAACTAGCTTCTCAGGATCCACATTAGTGCTTTGAAAAAGAGCATTCAAACGCTCAAATTCTTGAACAATTGGTGTCAAAAAGACAACATAAAGATAGAGAGTTTCATCTTTGAACATGTTGTTAATTGTTGTAACTCTATACCTAATGCAAGCAGGAGCTCGAGCTTCAGCACATAAGAAATAGGCTTTTAATTCGTACCAATTCACCATCAAATTGTAAAGACATTTCCCTCTGACAAGCCATCGAGTAGCTGAATACTTTGAAATGGTGATGGAGTTCCCATCCTTTCATTGCTTGGATCCATTGTCTGAAAAAGTACTTTAAACTCTTCTCGTCGAATGGAACTTTTTGAAAAAAATGAAGGAGTTTCACTGATCAGAAAGCCAACACTTGATGGCATTAATTCAAAGGAATGTTGAACAACGAGGTTCAAGGAGTGGCATGTACAGCGCATTAAAATACAATTAGGAGAGACTGCCCGAACACGAGACCAAACCGAATTGTGAAATCCAATGACATTTGAAGCTCCGTCTGAGCTATACCCAATGCAGTTTTTTAAAGACAATCTAACAGACGTCAACTTTGTTTCCAAAACAGCAAAAAGATCTGCACCAGTGGTTGATATCACAGCAGCTAAACCAAGAAAGTCATCGATAACTGATTTCTGTTCATCTGAATAGTATCGAGCACAAATGCAAAGATGTTTTGTCAAAGAAACATCAGTTGATTCATCAATCAGGATGGAAAAAGGTTTATCTGCCATTGATTCAGAAATTTCTGATTCGATTGATGAAGAAATTACATTTTTAATAATTTGGGTACATTTGGTTCGATGCAGACAAAGGTTTTCAAGGGGACTATTTTTTCCATAAAGAGAAATGATTTCTCCAAGGTGATTTATCGTTGAAATGGGTGCATGACAACACACGCAAAGAGCAAGATGAATATCTGCTTCACAGTCTGCTTTCTTTGATACTAAAGGGAACGTAATCTGGCTTTTTGTGTTAAGATGCTTTTCTCTTGAAGCATGTCTAAAAGTACCACTGTGCTGTTCTACAGACGATTTTCGTGGTTGTATAGTCATACGACAAAGGGTACAGAATGCTGATTCAGTACCATCAGAGCTTTTTTTAAGCCAAGGATAATCCGCTTCCCATTTTTCAAGGTACTTTCTTGAATTTACCCTCGACATTGTGCTTAATGTTCTAATACAAATTAAATACAAACCAACTGAAAAAAAAATCAATTCAACAGTTTTTTTAAAAATGCCAAAAAAATGCCAAAATGCCAAAATAATGCCAAAATGCCAAAAAATGCCAACATGTTAAAATAATGCCAATTTTACTAAATTTGGCATTAAAAAATGCCAGTTGGCAACACTGCTAACGATATTATCTAATAATCATTTGTAATAATAGCTAAACACACGTGAATGTAAACCCATGAATAATTACGATACAACAAATAAACTGACTAACTATTATTTGTTGACTAGCAGTTTTGTAAAAGTCAAGGAAGTTTAAATTATTTGTTATCTTGCCCTGCCTTCTCCAAAAAAAAAATATTTGCACAGTAAATGCAAATTTTCATTATTTTAAGCTATATAGCTTAAAAGTTTGGAAATTTGCATTTACTGTCATATTAAAAATATACATATATAAAAAGTCATATTCATAAAAGCTGAAAAATATAAAAATATAAATCAGTATTAAAAATGGAAAAAATTAAAAGTCAATGAAACTCAACTTATTTTTTGAAAATATGTGAAAAATCAAAACAGTCAAATAAACATATATAATCAAAAAATATACATAATTTTTAAAATAGCCAATTTGAAAAACTTTGATATCAATATCCAATCAGTTTTCATTGTGTACATAGCATGCCAATAACATTGTCAATCCAAAAATTAATTTCAAACTAGTTTTATTGTTGCCACTACTTCAGGACTCTTTCAATAATGTTTCCATGATCGGACACTCAATGAATGTTATAAAAAGTTCTGTCCATTATCCTGAACAGCTCCCTGTCATGATAATTGATCATCCGTTGATCATGACCTGATCAATGTTGATCATGACCGGATCAGTCCACGTAAGAGAAATTTGTTGTTTTGATGGGCAGCCTGCACAAAGAAACGGTTTGTCTTAAAGCGTTTGATATTTTATTAACTGAAAGTGGCTGGGCTGAGGCTGTTACTGCAGCTGGAACTGCAACATGATGCTCCACTGAAGCTCTTTTATCTACATCCCATGTAAAACGTTTTCAAAATATTCAAAACGTTTTTGTTTCTGCATAACATATATAACACTATCAGGCGTGCAATGCGTTTTGTAGTTTGTTGGAGGACGATAAAGTTAATTTGGTGCGGGTGTAAGACTGGTTGTAAAACAAGCTGCTGTAAATGTATTCGTATTAGAAAGTGCCACCAACCCTTGGAACGGCCCTGATCATACCCTAACCTATAACCAAACTTTGAAGTTTATTTCATTGAAAACCATACACTAGCCAGACCCTGACCCATTAGGTCAGGGTTAGTGTTTGGTTTGGGTGTGGTTTTCGAGAATAGTTGTTTCGGAAAGAATTTTTTTTTTTAAAACGAACTTATTAAAGGAAAGAGCCTACATGTCCATCCTTTTTTAAGTAGTTAGTAAAATATTCATTCTTGTATCCAATTTTGCACGATTTCAGTCATGTTTAATGCTTATCTGCTGTACTATTAATAGTACTTGACGCCAGGCCTTGCTATTTTGACGAGTTTAATTTATATATCTTATTTGTAAATATATTTACAAATAAGATATATAAATTAGAATGAGTTTCCACTCATCCGTTTTTTCACGGGAACGGGAAAGGGACAGTAAAAATAATCATGTGGGCATGCATAGTATAAGTTTTAATATATCCGAAGGAAAACTACGCATGCTCATGTGATTATTTTTCCCTTTCCTATCCCGTTCCCGTGAAAAAACGGATGAGTGGAAACTCACCTTTAAACTCGTCAAAATTTTTTAAAAACATTAAATAGAAAGGCCTGGTGCCAAGTTTACAAAATATTAGTTTTTTTTCAACTAAACAATAATAATGCATTAACATTGTACAATGGTACGCATGTTTTTGTAATAATCTAATTACTGAATAAACTAAGTTAAGCTAACTATAACAATCAAAAACATTACATCTTATGACAAAAGTTCAGGACTCTATATTGGTTTTTACGATTTTAGTAAAAATATTACCGTTTGTGAGCCTTTATAAGCAGCGGAGAAAATAGAATTAGCCTCGCCTTTACTTTTCGTTCTAATTTAACAAAAATGGCAGTGAAACAATTATTAAATCTAAATTGGTATGTTTAATTACAAATAGAAAAAAAAATAAAAGTATTCAATTTGTGGAGAAAACAGCATTAGCCTGACTTATGTTTTATAAAGAAATATAAAAAACATTTTGTTTTTACGCTCATTTAATATTTAGTATTGCTTCCTGAGTTTTTAATGACTTCAAATATGCGCGTTGACATACTACTCACAATATTTTGGATAGTTTCTATAGATATTTCATTCCACACTTTTTCAGCTCCAATGTGGATTCATATTGCTTACCATTTTAATCAACCTTTCTATAAAGTATTCTCCATAGATTTTCGATTGGGTTAAGATCTGGACTGCATGCGGACCATTCCATTACGTGAATATTTTTTTCTCTAAAACAAGCTTTTGTAAGATTTGAATAGTAACATTCTCTTGTTAAAAAGTGAAATTTTCATCCATCAATTCTTCACCATGTTCAAGCAAACTCATTTCTAATAAATCAATGTAGTCGTGTGAATTCATTTTTGTTGAATTCGATGCCAGTGGAAGTTTTCCAGGAAACAAAAAAGCCCCTCCCCCCCCAAACCATAGCAGTTCCACCACCATTAAAGTTACAACTCATCCGAATTTCTTCCTCTTTTCGAAGATCATGCCAGTAATATCGATAGTCATCAGGGCTATCTAGATTGAACTTTTTGTTATCACTTAAGAGAACTTGATTCCGCTTTTACTGCCATGACATGTGTTCTTTTGCAAATTGTAATCTAGCTTCTCTATGAGGAACAGTAAGTTTTGGTTTTGGTTTACGCTTTTTCCAAACTTTGTTTGGATCTTTATGTAAGATTTGTCTCATACGTTGAATACAGGTAATTGTAAGTCAGTACGAATTTAAGATGCAGTCATGTGCTGAGCAGCAGCACAACATACAATAGCTTGTTTAGGACATTTATCAATTTTACATTTGCCACCACTTTCCTTATAAGCTTCATAATTAACGCCCATCTTGAATTAATTATTAACTTTTGGAGATCTTTTAATTTTTGTTGAAAATTCTTGATTAGATAAACCTGTATCTTTGTATGCTTTGATTACAGCTAATTCTTCATTTGTTAATTGCTTACCATGTCCCATTTCAAATTCAGGTCACAAAAACCAAATGTTAAAAACTTTATGAGCACTGATTTCACAGTCTTTGTTCAACTTACAAATAATAAAAAAAAAACTAAGTCACAAATGCGTATCACCAGATCAAAATATACAAGTAAACTGAAAATAATTATTGATGAGGTTAATTCTACTTGTTAGTGCAAATATCAAGTATTTTACGGTTTTATCAAATGTACCGCAATTTAGTTATGCTATATTATAATCTAAAAGGTTATTGTTTGTAACAATAATTATATGTGTGTGGATACAAAATATGCACTGCACATATTTGTATACAGATTTACAAAATATTGGATCAGTACATATGTGAGGCTAATTCTATTTTCTCCTCTGTAGTCTGCATCAGGTTGATAAATAATGTCTAATACTAATGTCTCTCTATTATTGAGGCATTAGTTATTATGTTATTTGTTTTGCAAATGATTTTCAATATTTTATAATAAAGGATGATTAACTTGCTATATAATATAGCATTATATTAAATATATTGAAAACATTTTGAATGTTGTTGTGACATATAAATTTTGCTAAAAGTGTTACATTTGTTATTAATAACAAATGTAATACTTTTGATACAAAGTTATAATTATGTAATATATGTCATATATTACATATAATTGTTATGTAATATATGACATATAAATTTTTATATTATAAACATACATATGTAATATATTACAAGTACCAGTTTAAGTATGGTGTTTCCTTTAAATGTCATTCTGTCAAACTGACATTCAAAAAGGGCAACAGCTTAAGTTGGCACGTCATTGCCAAACTTTAAAATTTCCAAACAAACTTTAAAGATAAGATATTAAGTTTTATCGCCACATATGATGATGGCGATAAAACTTAATATCTTATCTTTAAAGTTTGTTGATGATATCTAAATATGTTGGTCTTTTCTTCTTATTTTTCTAAACTCGTTCTCATCACAATCTTCTTTTTATCTTTAATATTTTAACTGTTTGTTGTTTTAAATTTTGATGTTTCCTTTTGGTATTATTCTGATTATTGTTATTGTTGTTTTTGTTGCTGTTGTTGTTGTTATTGTATTGCCATTATATTACTATTGCTATTATTATTATTGGTAGTGTTATTATTATTATTATTATTAATAATATTATTATTATTACTATTATTATTATTATATTTCTTAAAATGATCATTTTTGATATATACAATATTTTTAATAAAGAAAACAAAGAAATAGGCTAAAATGTCTCCCAAATACGTATTAAATTATTTCAATGTGCAAGGTAAAGCTGAGGTAGCTAGACTTTTATTTCATTGTAAAGGTGTAGAGTTCACAGATAACCAAATTAACTATCAAGACTGGCCATCACTTAAAAGCGATCGTAAGTTTAGTTTTCTTATTTTAGGAAAGAAAAAGTATTTTCCTTTATTTTATTTATTCTATAACTTTAGACTCTAGGTTTCCTTTGGAGCTAATGCCTACATTAGAAATAGATGGGCATACTGTTTGTCAGTCTGCAGCTATAAATAAATACTTGGCAGAAACATTTGATCTTTATGGAGCTAATGCTTCTGATAGATTGATCATTAATCAAGTATGTGAGACCATGAATGATTTATCTAAAGAGTACTATGAAGTTTGGAGAAACGAAACATTAGACAATGAACAAAAGGTAAAAAAAAATGTTTTCTTATAACTCTATAATTTTTATGGTGATATTAGAACCTTTAATGATTTAATTTTTAGAATGCAGCTTATGCAGAAATCGGTTTAACAGATGCCACTAAGTTAAAGTTAACGTTTGTTGAGAGCTTGCTAAAGCGTAATCATGATGGTCATGGTTATTTTGTTGGTGATTCTGTGAGATTTTTAGCTGTCATTTTAAGGGTTGCATCAATTACTAGGGTATAGGGTATATATACAATTACTTAGGGGTACATCAATAACATTGGATTACCAATGCATTGAACATTTAACTAATGCATTGATATTGGCAATTTGAAATTCATAAATTTTCAGAAATATTAATAAATAATTTAAGTTCGAAGTTCAAAAAATTTAAATATTAAAAATATAAGTTCAATTTACAAAGATCTAAACAAAGAGAAAGATTTAAAGTTTAAAAATTAAAGTTACTTAAAAAAATGTTTCAAATTTAACAAAAATATTTAAAATAATTTGCTCCGTGTTAAAAAAAAAATGATAATGTTAAATATTGCTACCCAAAGTATTAAAATGTTTGTCTTAAAACCAACTAAAAATCTATTTTCTTTTAATTTTGATTGAGTTCGTTTTATATGATCGTCACTCAAAGTCACAATTTTGTGTAATTTTTATGTTTTATATTATTTCTATCAAACGTTACTAAATTTAATTATTATTGCTTAAGATTACTGTTGGAGATTTGGTTTTCTTCCATATAATCGGAATGGTTGGCAAAACAGTATTAAATGATCATCCTTTGTTAACAGAGCTGATTGATCGAGTTAGACACAGCGCTGAACTAAAGTCGTATTTGGACTCTCGAACACATCCTCCCTTTCTTTAAAGTTTTTGTAAAGATATATTTAAATCTGCTTTGAGAAAATAATTTTTTTTTAATATGGGTCATTTTATTCTATAGAGTAAATGATTATGATGTTACTTATAGACCATTTTACATTTTGCTGAAACATTTTAATTTCGTACATAAATGAGAAAAGTATGTTTTGAAAAATTCACATAAATATCTAATACAGTTCTTTAAAATACACTATTTAAGTAATGGGCTATTTTGAATAAAATTTCGCTAGGGTCTGTTGGGTTAATTTGGGTATAAAAAGTACCAATTTGCAACTTTTAAGTTATACTATTAAATTTGAAAAAAAAGGAATTGGCGCTCTTAAGCCTATTAGTAAAAAAATTTAAACCGTTTGTTATAAGACACTTAAATTACCCCATGAATGGGATAAGGGTATAGTAAATATTTTTTAAAAATAAAACATGCTTTTAACAGCTGTTATACCCAATTTACCCAACTTAGACTAGTTGTAGGCATAGTAGAAATAAAATTCATCTGCGGCATTATAAAAAAATTATCTGCGGCATTGTTAGTACAAGATGGGTTTATCGAAAAATTTACAAGATGGAAGTTACAATGATAAATATTGAAAAACTAATAACCACCAAACTGAGAACAAAAAAAAAGGTATTCTTAGTGAAACTATCAACCTTTTAAAAAAACAGAAAAAGATATTTAGCGATATCATAAGTGCAAATCTAAAAATAATAACAGTAGATAGGATATGCCGGTTCTAGCTCATTATTATTTCAACCATATTTTCAACCTTATATTTAAATAAATATAGGATTCATTATCATCCATATTGTCGGTTCTAGCTCATTTTCATAATAATAATTTTCCGGTTCTAGCTCATTTTCATTTCAACCATATTTTCAACCTTATATTTAAATAAATATAGGGTTCATTATCATTCATATTTTGTATAAATTGTATAATTAAGAAATAAATTTTTAAATTTATATAAATTTAAAAAAATCATTTTTTTAGATTTAAAAATTAGTATCAATTTCATTTCTATTGTGTGACGTCACAGGTCATGTATGTTGTTGTAGTTATTTTATTTGGTTTTTTTGGATAACCAAAAAAATTGAAATTACTTATAAATAAGTGATTCAAACATTTTTCACATTCACAATCTGATATGATTATTTCTGTACAATTTACAGAATCATAAATTATATGATCTGCTGTTCTTCCCATTTTAAAGAGTTTGATAGGATTTAAAAAATATTCATTATTAACTTTTTCAATTAATCTGCATTCCATTCTTTTTATATACACAAGAAAATTATTTAACTCATTTCAATTTTTTTATTTTTGAAAAAGCATTTCTTTTAATGATTTTTTTATCTGTTCTCTCTTTCTTTTTATTTCTCTAAATTTTTCATTGTGTGATTCTATTATTTGCATGCGCTTATCATAACATTTCTTTTTCTCTTCTAATAATTTTTCTATTCCTAATTCTCCTAGTCTTATTGCTTCATTATATTTATATTCTATTATCATTGTCCTTTCATTATAATTTCTTTGTAATTTAAATGCTTCTTCTTGTCTAATTCTTTCTTCTTCTTTATCTAGTTTAAGCATTATAGGACTAAATAGTTGACAGTAATCTACTTTATAATATGTATTCATTTATTATATAAAGAAAATTAATTTAACTTATTTCAAAAAGAATTTATTATCTATTCATTTACTTCAATTGATTCATTTTGTTCATCTTGACTATATTTTTCAATTGTTTCAATTGTTTCAATTGTTTCAACTGTTTCAACTGTTTCAATTAGTTCATCTGATTCATAAGTTTCAACTTTTTTAATTGTTTCAATTTTTTCAATTTTTTTAATTACTTTATCTTCATCATCTTCATCATCAGCTATATCATCTAACCTTCTTTCTATTTTTTCTAATCTTTCTTCTATTAATCTTAATAATCCTTCTAATTTTTCATAAGAATTAATTATTTCGTTTTGCATTTCGCTTTCCATTCTTTTTATCTTTGATGAGGAAGAAGTTCAAGAAAAATGTATAATTCCAATTCCTTCAAAAACAGTACAAATTATGGAATTGTATATAGATAAATTAAGATGGATTAATTATGTTCCAACTTATAATGATATTATTAATAATGATTATCCTGCTATAGATAAATTTTTTGTTAAAAAACATAAAAAACATAACAGAAAATTTAGTTTTGAAAAACCATTTAATGTTGAAATTAATTTTACAGAAGATGGAAAACCTTCTACATTTCATTTTGTAGAAAAATTACCTATTTTTTGTAAAAATATTTTAAAAGATAATTTTTGTTCTTTTGGAGATAAATGTAAATACAATCATGATATTCCTTATTGTAATACTGTAAAAGAAAGATTAATATGCACTAAAGCTTCATGCAGATATAAGCATATTTCTCTATGTTCTGAATACCCTAAATGCAAAAATAAAGAGTGTAGATTATTTCATCCTACAAAGTCGGAACTATTAAAACTAAGAAAAGCTAAAACTAAATTATGCAAATATATACTTGATAAAAAAGAATGCTCTTTACAAGATAAATGTAAATATGCTCATACTAAAGATGAAATTAAAGAAAACGTAGAGAATTGTCCATTTAAACTATGTAAATTAACAGAAAAGAAAATAATGAAAAATAAAAAAGGTGAAAAAATAACTTTATATAAAAATGTTAATGATAATAAAAAGTGTTATTATTTACATGAGAATGAACAGATTGTAAATTATATTGTAAGAACTTTAAAATAAAAATAATAATATTTAATATTTATGACTTAAAAAAAATCTTTACAATTTATAAAAAATGTATAAGAGAAGAATGTTTTTAGATTATGAAAAGCATGAAAAATATGCAATAACTTTTAATATTAATTCAGATTTAGAGCATAAAGCAATAAATGATAGACATATTAAAGTATTCGCACAAGAAGATTTTACAGTAAAATCAAATTTATATAATAACATTTCTTTAATGTGTGGAGTTAAAATAGATAAAGGACATATATTGATTTCACTTGCAGAAAATTATAAACCAACACTAAGTTTACTAAATTCTGTTGTAATAGAATCTACTGATGATATTAAAATAACTTTATATAATAACGATAAAAAAGATATAAATATTAAAAAAGGAGATTTGTTATGCTGCATTTCATCTTATAATGGTGCTTTTAATGCAAATTATATATCACATAAGGTTACTTTAGAACCTGATAAAAAAGTAGAACAAGTTAGGTCCCAAAGGGACTCAGGCTCTGCTAGTCTTCAAAGTGATAAAGAATCTGTAAAATCTATATTAACAAGTATAGGAGACATAATTAAAGAAACTATATGTGACGAAGATAAACCTAGTTCAGATAAATCTAACAAAGCTAAAGACTCTACTGTATTTGATTTTGGTAAATAATTTATTAAAAAAGAATTAAACAAATTTTTCTTTATAGAAAAAGAATGCAATGTAATAATAAATATAAACAACTTTATCCAGATCTTAACCAGTTTTCAGAAAATCCATCTGCACCACCAATTTCTGATCATAACTTTAGATTACAAAAGATTAGTGAAATTCAGAATAAAATAGAATGTGAAAGGAAAAGAAGAGAGATCTTAAGTAAGAAATATCATAAACTTCAAGAATCATTTCAGCAGTTGATAATACATTACTAGTAAGCACTATGGCATTAGGAGCTGCTGGAGTGGGTTGTTTAACAACTGGTGTATTGGCTCCAGTAGCTATTGGATGTGAGGTTGCTGCATTAGCTATAGGAACAGTAAATTTAATAGGATCACAACTTAATAGAAAATTAAACTTAAAAGCAAAAAAGCATGAAAAGATTACAGTACTAGCTGATGCAAAACTAAATACAATAAGTAGTCTTATTTCTAAAGCTATATCAGATCAATATATTGATGATGTAGAATTTAATATGATACTTTTAGAACTTGAAAAGTTTCAAGCTATGACTGAACAAATTAGAACAAAATCTAAAAATGATATAGATGAGCAGACTAAAGAGTCAATATTTAATAAAGGAATAGAAAAAGGTACAAGTGATATTATAGAAGCGTTAAATATGAGATTTAACAAGAATCAAAGTATAGGAATGATAAATAATACTCTTAAGAATTAAAAACATATATTATGTATTTACTGAACATAACATATGTTGATTTAAAAAAATATTGCTTATAAAAAAATGTCATATGTAAAAGCTACAGATATTGAATCATGATTAAAATTAGCAAAAGAACTTGATGGGTTAAAGAAAAGTGTATATCAAGATTCTATTAATGAAAAGTTAGGTTATGATATTTTACAGACTAACTTGGAAAAATTCTACAAACCAATAATAGATAGTCAATCTGGAATAAAAGAAGGCTTATCTAAATTAGAAAATAAAGCTGATCAATTAGCTATTACTTTTTCAAATCCTGAATATATTACTGAAACTAAAGCAATTAGAAGAAATCCTTTCAGGATCTGCCACCTGAAGTTGTAAATAACATGACATTAGGAGCTATCGCAACAGAATATTTAAAGTTATATACTGCTAAAAATAGTAAAAAAGTATCAGATGACATATTTGGTATACATTACAATGAAGATGATAAAAAATTTTACATTGGTAAAAAACCGATAACTATTGAAGGTAATGATATAGCTATTGAAGATAAAAAGTACATTGGAACACCGGGTCTTTGGGAGATCATAGTAAAATCTCATCCTGTTAAATATACCAACGATGATCGTAATAAGTATAAAGAAATTTTAGATCAAACAGATGCAATTCGCTCTGATTTAAATTCAGCTAAACCAAGATCATCTAGAAGTTATAAATACACTAATGTAATAAAACCTATTTGGGAAGAGATGATTGGAAAGTCTGGAAAAGGAGTTATCATTCTTCCTAGTGATCCTAATGCACTATTTGATATGCTTAAATTACGCTTAGCTGCTTTACAAGCTGGTAATACTGGAGTTAAAAATGAAACTGTTGCTATTTGTGATGAGTTGTTAAGACAAGGTCATATAGATAATGATGAGTATAAAACATTGCAGAAAGCAATTTATTAAATAACTTAAAATGAGTTAAAAAATTATTTTATATATAAAAATGACAAAATACTATGATACTCTTATAAATCTTTCAGAAGGTCAGAAAGAAAAAATTAAAAAAGCAATTGAATCTGATACTAATGCTGTTATAAAATTAACACATCAAGATCTAAATGGTGAACATAAAATAGCTTTAACAGATTCACAAAGAAACAGAATGAAAGCAGCATATATAAAAAATACTGGTATAACACTTTCACTTAGTAGAGCACAACTTAAACATAATGTTAAAGTAAATGGTGGATTTTTACCTCTACTAGGAATAATTGGAAGTCTAATTGCGTCAAAAGTTGTTCCGGCTATAGCATCAGGATTATTGACTGGAACAGCTGCAGCTGCTGGAAGTACTATAGTTAATAAAATTGCTGGAATTGGTATTATTTATGTGAAAAAGAATGGTAGTGCATATAAAATTAGAAAAGTAGGAAAAGGAATATTTTTAAGCCCATGGAACGGTAGTTATAATTATTCAGATGGATATTATTTAAGAAATGGAAATAACTATACATCAGTAGGTAGAGGATTGTTATTAGAAAATCCTCCATTTAAGAATTGGAAAAGTTATGAGAAGATTTTTTAGGTTCTAAAGGGACCCTTGCTTCGCTGAACCATTTTAGATGTACTTTTTCAGATAAAGTTAAATATATATTTTTTAAAAAATATATATTTATTGATTCCACAACGAAGTTGGATAATAAAATAAATCTAATCCACTTCTATACTTTCCATTTAATAAATCAGAAGACAAATCTATAACAACAAATCCATGCTTTTTTGACCAAGCTTCATTACAAAACTTTTTAAATTCATCTAATTTCATATCATTTGAAACATGATCATTATAAATATGATTTACATTTTTTGAATCTTGTTTAAACAAGCATATAAAATTTGCATTTTCTCTTATCGTTCTCCTAGGCAACTCAAAATAATTTTGTGCTAAGTAGAATCAATCAACATTGCTATGTCTTCCTCTTATATAGTACTTTTCACATTTGTTTTGTTTGTTAATTGTAAATCATCGAATATCATTAAATTATTTTTAATACAGTTAAGATTTTCAGGTTCTAGTACATCCTCTACTGTTTCATAAAATTGACACTCTATATCTGTTTTATCTTTTAAGTCTCTTGAAATGTTTTTAATAATAAACTCTGGACTTACATTGTTTTTATTTATTTGATCTTGCAACTTAAATAGTTCAAGAATAACTTCTTTTGGTAATTTATTTTCAAAAGAATTTTTTAATATTTTATATTCAGGTTGGAAAAGAGATTTTCCAAAAACTTATAAATTATTATAGTCTAGCCAACCAGGTCTTAAAAGCAAGTTTAATAATAATGTTGTTTTTCCACAACCTGATTTTCCAACAATAATCCCTCTTATACTTTTAGGTAACAACTCATTATTATGACGTTTACCTTTATTTACATTCCATGATAAATCTATAATATCCATTTTTTATTTATGAAAAAGTATTTTTTAAATAGATTTATGTAAAATAAATTAAAGCAAATATACATATATATAAAAAATGTACTGCGTTAAATGTAAAAATAAAACAGATACACTCAACTCACAACATGTTGTAAGTAAAAATAATAGAAACATGCTAAGTGGAAATTGTGCACTATGTAGAACAAAAAAATGTCAATTTACAAAAGGAACAAGCGGAGGTGATTTAGTAGAATCTATTAATAAATTCACAAGTAATAAAAAATTACCTTTGCAAAAGTTTCCAGGTGAAATGCATTTACCAGGTATGAACTTTGCAGGACCTGGCACTAATTTAGATGAAAGATTAACTTTTACTGAAATGCCTAAAGAATGGAGCATGCCTGTAGATAGAGTTGATAAAACAGCTTATATTCATGATCTTGCTTATAAGCATTATCCAGACAAAGAGCATAGAAATATTGCTGATAAAATGATGATTGAACAAATGGATGCTATACCTAATCCTACACTACGTGAAAAATTAGAAAGAAAGATTATAAAACCTATCATATCTGCTAAAGTAAGGTTTGGTATGGGAAATAAAGAACCAATGAATTATGCCAAAAAAACTACAAGCGCACAGGAAAAAAGCAAAAGACGTAGGAAATAAAATAGACGTGAAATGGACTGATGAACTTGCAAATGAGCTTCATAAACCTGTTATAAAACATTTAAAAAAAAGAAAAGTGATTGCAAATGGAATTGATGATATATGGGCTGCTGATTTAGTTGACATGCAATCTTATTATAAATTTAATAATGGTATAAAATAGTTATTAATGGTCATTGATATATTTTCAAAGTATGGATGGATATTTCCATTGAAAAATAAGACAGGAATTGAAGTTGCTAATGCATTTGATAAAATATTTAAAGATAGGAAATGCAATAAATTATGGGTTGATAAGGGTTTAGAATTTTATAATAAGCATGTTAAAGCATTAGGTGTGCATCTCTATTCAACTGAAAATGAAGAAAAAAGCTGTATATATATACATATATATACTTTTAATATCATTACATATATGTAATGAAAGTAGTATATTAGCATATAGTATATTGGCAATAAAATCAATATTTAGCAAATACTGATATAGTCAAACACAACCTCAAATTTGTAATGGCAATGCTGCCTTTTATTTGTTCCAGAAAAAGTTGGCCGAGATAGCAACAATTTATCATCCATTCTAGGGATAGTCACAATATCTGGTGAATTAGGCATCTTAAAAATATCACCTTTTTTCCGAAGAAAACTGATGTAACTTCTTCTTTTATAAAGTTTACACATAAAACCTTTCCAACATAGAACAATTTTTTTTTTTGTTGTTTCAAATTTAACCAATACAAAGTAATCTTCTTTAGGATATATATCACAAGCACACAAATCATCTTCTAGGATTATTAAACATTTTTCATTTGTGGCTGTCAAATGTTCCAATACAGAATCATCTTTTTTAAGTAATTTTTTGTTAATCTTCTGTAAATTTGCTTTTAATTCTTTTGTAAGTTTGACTAACTTTTTATTGCAGAGCCTTTTCTCAATCCGATCTCTCTCAGGAGTGTCTGTGGCAATGGTAGAGCAACCCTTCTTCCTTTCCCTTCTTTTACAGTTTTTTTTTTCCAGATTTCGGAAAACCTCTGAATTGTTTAGGGCTGATAAAGAAATCTGATGATGTAGACAGATTAACCATGGTATCATTGGTAACTAGTTTGTTTGTATCTATAGTAGTAGAGGTAGTGGGCTCTGCATTTGGTGAAACATGTGGGTGAAAAAAATTATCAGAAGTAATGCTTACGTGATTTTTTATGCAAGTATTGTTAACATCAAAAGTTCTGTCTGTCACAGAACTGCACATGAAATCAATATCTGTAAACACATTCCTGTCATAAGGAAATATACCTGCCTTTTTAAAAGCAGCTACAATGTTAGATGGTGTTATGGCTTTCAGAAAAGCAAGCCCTACAGATGCAGCAACTTGGTAAATTGTAAATGTTTTTCCAGGATTGTGGAGCATCCAGGAATCAATTGCTGCATTATATGCAGTTTTAAATGGCCCCATAACTCCCACATCAAGTGGTTGTAACTTATGCGTGGAATGAGGCGGTAATGTCAAAATGGTCACTCCATGCTCCTTTGCTAAATTTAACACTGCTATAGATAAGTGCGCTTGGAAATTGTCATATATTAATAATGATGGATTTTCTTTTGTACTTGACGAGAACTTGATAAAGTGATTCATAACACCTAAAAAAAGTTCACCGTTCATCCAGCCTGTTTTACAAGATCCAGAAGGAGCTCCTAACAACATATGCTCCTTGAAATGCACTCTTGGAAAAATAATTACTGGTGGAAGATATTGTCCAGAAGCACTGATTATTATTCATGTTGTGACAAGGGTTCCTCTTTCAGCACTTGTGACAGAGTGAAAAAAGGTGTGAAAGAGTGTTTCAGCAGACACTCTTCACACCTTTCTTTGCAAGAACCTAAACATTTAGAGGTTATATATAAGAAAAAATATGCCACGAATAAAAATATACCTATTATTGAAGATTAACATACCTTTTGTGGGTTCTGCACGGTAATAGTTCCAGTTTCATCAAGGTTAAAAATCCGAGTTCCATTGGCAAATATTGGTGATCTAGCAAGAATTTCTTTTAATTTATCAAAAAATATATTTACATTATGGGCATTAAATGATGTTGCCCTTGAGAGAGAACAACCTTCAGGTGTTCTAAGAGACAAATCTGGATGTCGCTTTCTAAAATTATTCATCCAATCAATACCTGCCATTGAGTCTTTGTGCCACTTCTGTGGAATACTAATTTTATTAATGGTTGCCATCTCAAAAGCTATACACCGACATTCTTTAATTGGAAGGCCATAGAACATTCTTGAACAAGTCAAAATATATTCCTTTAATTCTAATTCCTGCTTGTCTGTAAATATTCTTTTAACATAATAATTCGGGCTAAGTCTTGTATTTTCATCAAGCAAAAATTTTTTCCAATAACGACGAAGAGTTGGATAGGGTATTTTGGAAGTTATTGCAGTTTCTCTACTACTTTTTCCTTTTTGGATCGAATGTAATGCATCCTTCATATTTTTACTGAAGGTTTTTGCTTTTGAAGTTGTTCTTTTATAGACTCGAGGCATTATAGCATGTGGTAAAAATAAATGCAATGTTGCACACAAGTTTTCTAATGATATACTAAGATATTAAAGCCAAACGTAAATATGTTTTTACGCTGAAGTCAAAACTTTTTTAACGTGAAGTATTAGTTAGCCGCGGTTCACTCCTACCCGTGATGGAATGGCTCATTTCTCCCCAAGCTGTGCAACTGAATTAAAACATTAAATGTTCAATAAGTACGTGGTTTGTGCATGTAAAATACTTTGTTCTAAAAACTACATGTTTTATTAGTAAATTTTCAACCACTATCTAATGTCTCAAAACAACCGGAATGCTCATTAAAGAAGTTTCAAAAAATACAAAAAATTTACTTTTGCACAGAAAAGGGTTGATGATAACGTTAACGCAGACACTCACACCAAGAAGGGGTAAAAAAATTGGATTTTGTTAACAACAACTTGTATGCAACTACTTGTTGAAAATTTTGAGTCTTTTTCATTTCCCGTTTTAGCTGTAGGATCAACGGTTCACTCCTACCCTTGGCTCACTCCTACCCATCCTCCCCTAAAGTAAGAATAATTAAAAAGAAAGGAGCGTTTGAAAAAGGATACACACAAAGATGGACTGAAGAGGTATTTACAGTATCACAAGTTCAGTACACAGATCCACCTACTATTTAGGATTGAAAAGGTTATTCGTAAACAAGGTAATAAATCATTTGTAAAGTGGTATGGGTATCCTGATACTTTTAACTCATGGGTTGATAATACAGAATTGAAAGCTATTTAAAATTATCTTACATATAAAAAAATGAACAACTCAAATGTAAATGTTAATATATGCGTATCAGCTACTTCTGGTAATGCTAATACAAATACAACTGTAACGACAACGACTTCACATTATAGCGCTTCTGGATCGAACAAATGATACAAGAAAAAAATTGTGCATTTTACAATAAAAATAATTTTTTTGAAATGAATTAAATAATTTTCTTTACATAATAAAAAGAATGGAAAACGAAATGGAAAACGATATGCGAGACGAATTAATTAATTCTTATAAAATAACAGAAGAATTAAAATTAGAATATAAATTAAAAACAGAAAGACTTGAGGAATTAAGAGATAATAAAGGTTATTTTGAAAATGAAATATCTAATCTTAGAGATGTACTTAATCTTAAATATGATCTTGATTTTGATATTAATCTTGATCTTGATATAATAAAATTAGAAAATAGATTAAAAAAAGAAGAAGAAAAAATACTAGACTTGATGAATAGGTTAGAAGAATTAAAACTAGAATTAAAGTTAGAAAAATTAAAAACAGATATATTAATAGGTGACAAAATATTAAAAGAAGAAATGATAAAATGTGGAATGGAAGATAAATTTGGATTAATGTCATATTTAATATTAGATAATAAAGTATTAGAATATGAAAAATATGATAAAGAATTAAAAAAACTAACATGTTTAGAAACTGATAAAAAAAGAATAGATGAATTAAAATTTAAATTACAATTTAAAGATGAAGTATTAGAAGACTTGAAAGAATGATTTAATTCAAGATCTGAATTAGTGATTGATAAAGAAAGAATGAATAAATTGTTAAATTATTTTGGATTTTATGGATATAATAAAATAGAAATTAGATTTAGTGTTTGATAAAGAAAGAATGAATGAAGAAGAAAGAATAGAAAGAATAGAAAGAAATGTAAAAGAACTGGAAGAATTGAATAAATGTAAAGTATGGAAATATTTGAAAGAATATAAAGAAGAAAAAAATAAGCCAAAGTTTAAAAAGATAATAGAAAAGTTAGAAGTAGAGATATTAATAGAGATAGAAAAGTTAGAAGAGTTAGAAGAAAGAGTAGAAGCAATAAGATTAGATAGTGATATAAAACTAGTAACAGATGCAGGATTAGAAATAAAAAGATTAAAAAGAAGATTAGATCATAGTTAATTATATATTTTTTTAAAAAATATATAATTTTTTGAAAATGAGTTGAATAATTTTCTTTTGTATATAAAAAAGATGTCATATGTAGGTATTGAAAATTTTGATGAAGCAAATTTATATGTTAAAGAAATAATTAAATTTAATAAACCTGTTCCACATCAAAAAATAGTTATTGGCTACAACTATTCAGATTGTTCAAAGGCTTTAAGAGTAAAAACTCCAAAAATGTTATCATATGGAATTAATGAAAATAGAGATCTAAAAACAAAAGAACTTACAGGATATTCGATCCCTTTTGTATGTGAAAATGATATATTTATCACAATTATTGAAGCTATTGAAAAATTTTGTAGAGATAAAGTTACTGAAAATGAATCAATGTTAAAAAAAGGTGGTATGAAAAGCCTTAATATACAAAACTTGAATATTTTAAAGTACAAAGATGATGACCCTAAAGCACATCCAATTCTATATGCAAAAATACCTATAGATTTTAAAAGTAAAAAGATGGATCAAGTATTTAGGAAAAAAAATGAAGGTGATATTTTAGGAGAAAGTCTTATTAAAAAAAGATGTGACGTTGTTGGATGCTTAGCAATTGATGGTGTATATATCGGATCAATGATTCAATCTATTCAAGTAAAATTATTAGATGCAGTTGTATATAAAAAAGAGTACAAGATAGAAAGATTAAGGTTTTATATTAAAGATGCTGATTTAGAAAGCGAAGATGATGATTTAGAAAACGAAGATGATTAAGATAAAGATTAAAATATTTATTTTTTATATTATTAGTAATATAAAAAATGAGATAAATAAAATAAAATATATAAAAAATGTATATTGAAATAGAAAAAGATAAATAAAATCCAGTTATAACTAAATTTGATGATATTATTAAACTTGATGAAAATAAAGAGTATGAAATGGCTCTTGATAGATTTCAAACTATTCTATATAGTAGTTTAAATAAAAACAAAAAAGTATATATATTAAATAATCTTGTAGATGGAAAAATTGTATCTAATATTGGTAATGCTAAGAAAACGACTGTAATGTATTCATTTATGCCTATTATTGTTTCTAAAAATTCAGTTATTAATGAACAACCATTATCTAAAAAATATTTTCCTTTAAAAACAATTTCAGAAATGAAAATTGATATCATTGATAACTTTAATAAACCTATAGATTTTAATAATGAAAGATTTACCATAGAATTTCATATAAGAGAGAGAAAAAGTAAGTTCTTTTAGAACTAGTATAAACTTTTTATATTGAAAGCGATATAAAAAATTATTATATATATAAAAAATGTCAAAAACAATACATATAACTTCAAACGATACTCTTATAAATACTAATATGGTGGTTCCTATTGAACTAGATGAAAATAAAGAGTATGGAATAGCTCTAAAAAAATTAATGACTTAAAATAGTTTTCCAAATATTATTGAAAGATTAAACAATACTATAAATATTACTATAGAAGCTAGTGATAGTCCTGGTTTTCAACAAATTAAGATCCCAACAGGACTTAAAAATATAAATACATTTGTAACTAGATATGTAATGACTACTCTTAAAGATCAACTTGCTAAATATAAAGAGTCTTTTAAAGATGTTACAGACGCTGAATCTTTAAAAAAAAAAGCTGTATATGATAGTATAAAACTTGATCCTACATCTATTTGAAGCAAATTTTAATACTGAAAAATCACAGATTATTATTAATAGAAGTAGCAATATTAGAATACAATTTGACGATGACTCAATAAAAGATCTTTTAGGTTTTAATAATAGAGATCGTGATGGTAAACTTATAATATTTAACTCATCAAAAGTATATATTTCAGATAAAGTAATAGATATAAATCATATTAATACTATTCGTGTAACAAATAGCCTTGTAACAGACTCAATTATAGCAATTATATATATATTCATTTTATCCATCTACACCAATTGGTTGGAAAATTGTTGAAGTACCAAATAATCCAACTTATTATAGATTATTATTAAAAAAATTTTGGATATGAAAACAACAATAATGGATCAAGATGGGCATATACTTAATTTACAAGGAGAACCAATAAGTATTGAATATGAAATAAAAGAAATTGTGTCAAAATGTAAATCAGAGCATCTTTTAGAAAGACAAGTATCTCTTTTAGAAGAACAAAATGAACTTTTAAAAAAACAATTAAGAAGATAGCATTGATCGTAAAAGCGATCTAACTAAAAATATTACATATATAAAAATGTTAGATATAAATAAAAAATCATATACACACAAGTATGTAGTAGGTGGAAGTGGAGTATTTACAGATATAAATAATATGTATAATCAGGCAAAATCTTCTGATTTTTTTAGAGCATTATCTGGTATGAAAACAATGTTAACTAATCATTTTAATAAAAATGGACCAATAATAATAGTTTAGCGTAGCCAGGATCGCAAAAGCGATCCAAGCTCAAAAGGGACTCAGATTCATGCTAATGAATTAAAAAAAAATATACAGTAAATATAAATGTTAGTTATAAATAATAAAGGATATACACACAAGTATGAAGTAGGTGGAAGTGGATTATTTACACCTTTTATAAATATGATTAATAAGCAAGCATTTAATAATGTACTAAAATCATCTCGTATTATAGCTAGTAGAGCAGCTGCTACAGATTTAGGAAAAACTGCTGTAGATGCAGCTAAGTCTGCAGGAAAAGAACTTGCAACTTCTGCAATATCTACTGCTAAAGAAATTGTTGTAAATAAAGGTAAAAAAATAATAGAAAATGTAAATAAATCATCCAAGCTAGCAAAGCCTGGGTCCCAGAGGGACCTAACACCTGAAAATAAACAAGAACTTAAAAATTTAATAAATTCAGTAAATGAAGTAGTACCAGACATTAATAAAATTATGATGGGATCATCAATAAAAAGTAAACCTGTTAGAATACAAGATTTAGTTAAAAAACATAAAGGCGATGGCTTAGAATAATATAATTTTATCAAAATAGTTAGATTTCATTAAAATGATTTTAAAAAATTATATTGCATATATAAAAATGGTAAAATCTGATATATTTAATATTACTGACAAATTAAGATTTGATGAAGAAATCAAAAAGTATGAAGAATATGAATTTACACCATCTGTTAATTCTAATTTAAATTCAGGAGAAATAAGAATTTATGTTGAAAATAGTGATTCTTTGTTTCATCCACATGAATCATATTTAGAAATTGAAGGAAGACTTGTAAAAGCAGATGGAAGTGCATATGCAAATGCAGATGCAATAACACTAACACACAATGGGCTTATGCATTTATTTGATAGAATTGAATATAAGTTCTATGATTCAGTAGTTGAATCAGTTAATTTTCCAGGTAAAGCAACTACAATGCTTGGAATGTTGAAATATCCAAATGACTTTCAA